TTTGTGTGCTTTTTTTTCCATTTTTTTTTCTTTCTCATTTTTAATTGTTTTTTTTATGGAGAAATTTCTCAACTTTATTTTTTTTTTAATTTTAAAAATAAACCTTTATTCTTCATATTTTTACAAAAGTTCCTCATTTTTTCCCCCTCCACCGGGTTCCCACCCACATCTGCCCTTTTCCCACCCCCCATTGACCTCATCCATAAGTGCACAGTTTATGTTCAGTCTCTTCCCGCACCCCCACTCCTCTTTTCCCCGAGATTTGTCAGTCCACTCCCCTTCCATACCTCTGATTTTATTATATTCAACAGTTAATATTGTTCATCAGATTTTTTAATTCCCTTGGTTTTTAGATTCACTTGTTGATAGTTACGTATTTGTTCTTCTTAATTTTTATCTTTATCTTCTTCCTCTTCCTAAAGAACCCCCTTCAGCAATTCATGTAATTTTGGTTTGGTGGTGATGAACTCCTTTAGCTTTTTTTTTATTAGTGAAGCTCTTTATCTGGCCTTCATTTCTGAGTGATAGCTTTGCTGGGTAGAGTATTATTGGCTGTAAGTTCTTGCTATTCATCACCTTGAATATTTCTTGCCATTCCCGTCTGGCCTGCATGGTTTCTATTGAGAAATAAGCTGACAATCGTATGGGTGCTCCTTTATAGGTAACTACCTGTTTCTCTCTCGCTGCTTTGTCTTTGTCTTTTGCTCTTGGAATTTTAATTATGATGTGTCTTGGTGTGATCCTCTTTGGATTCCTTTTGTTTGGGATTCTGTGCGCTTCCTGGGCTTCTAATTCTTTCACCAGGTGGCGAAGTTTTCTTTTACTATTTCTTTCAGTATGTTTTCGATATCTTGCTCTCTCTTATCTTCTGGGACCCCCATAATTCTGATGTCGGTTCGTTTGAAGTTGTCCCTGAGGTTTCTTACATTATCTTCAACTTTCTGGGTTCTCTTGTCTTCTTGCTTCTGTGGAGGAGTGTCTTCTGGCTCTTTGTGTTCCAAGTCTTTGACTTGATTCTTCTGAACTTCCATTCTCTTTTTAGGACTCTGTATAATGTTTTTTATTTTAGACAATGTATTCTTTATTTCTAGTTGATCCCTTTTCATATACTCAAAGGGCTCATTTATTTTATCGGCCTTTTCTAGGAAATTCTTAAAAAACCTTATAAGTATGGTTTGGAACTCTACATCCAGTTGCTTTTTGTCCTCCATTTCTTTTGTGTGTTGTTGGCATTTTCACAGCTTCCCTGAGTTGGTAGGGTGGCTCTGTGTTCTAAGGTGTCCTATATGATTCAGTGGGTCAGCCTCCCAGTTACCTGAGGTGGACAGTCTTGGTGTAGCCCTTTGTGGGCTGTGTGTGCAGTATTGTTGTTAACCCCTGCTTGTTGTTGGTATCACTGGGAAGTGTTGATCTCCAAGCTAATTGGCGATGAGGTTCAGAAGTGTCTCAGCTAGGAGGGTTTCTGTATTCTGCTTGGATGGGGCAGAGTCTTGGGGTGGCCCTGACAAGCCTTGGTGAATCCCATAAGATTGGTTGCAGGCGCACACAAGCTTTGGATTCCTGTCTGTCCCTCCCTAGGAGAGTCCTATTTGCGGCAAACAAGAAAGCTAGCCACTGATAGGGCTTCTGTGCTCCGCTTGGATGGGGCCAAGTCTTGGGGTGGTGCAGACAAGCTTTAGTCAGCCCCTCCTTACAAGGGTCTGCTTTCTGAGTCCCGCAGTAATGGCAGCTGGCTTCACACAACTCCGAAAGATCTCTGCCCACTGCCTGACCGTCTGGCCTCTCCCTGTCTAGGGCCCTCTATCAGAGCAATAGGGTGGTTCTGTTTTTTTTCCCCAAACAAGAAAGCTAGCTGTGCATTAACTGTCCGCCCTCTCTGCGCACGGGGAGTAAGACAGTAGCGAACTTTGCCCGCCCTCTCCGCGCTCCACAAACAAGCCAGCAGCGAAGTCGGGCGGCTGCCATTTTGCGCGCGCAGTTCACCGCACCTTCACAGTTCCTGAGGTTCAGAGTGCCTTCTCTCTCCTTCCCAGATGGTAGAGCCTCCTCTCAGCCAGCCGTCCTGCGCTTCAGGGTGATGTTTCCCCTGTTTTTCAGTTGTAAATTCAAAATTCTTGTGGTAGGCTGCATTCAGGTGTCTACCCTATGCCGCCATCTTGGCTTCTCCAAAAATATAATTAAAAAGGTAAAATCAAGGGAGAAAAGAAATAGTTTCTTAAGTGACAGATAAAAAATTTGCAATTGTAGGAGATATCAAGATGGCGGCATAGGTAAACACTTAACTGCAGCCTCACACAACAATTTCAATAAAATACAACTAAAATGCAAAATGGACATTACCCAGAACTACACGAAAGTCAACTGACTGGAAATTCTACAATGAGAAGGAAAGAGAAAACCAGAAGGAAAATCAGAGGAGCTGTAAAAGCCTAAGGTACGGAGACATGTTGCGCGCACGGAGAGGATGGAGCCGGACAGGAGGATAGGCTTAGTGCCTGGCTGGCGTTCCCTAGTGGGAAGGAGATAAAAGCTCCGGACTGTGCTGAACCCCCGTTACGACAGCACTGAACCCCAGTTCTGAGCTAGACCCTGGGGACCCAGACACATACGGAGGGAGTCTGGGCTGTAAGTCGGAACCTCAGGGGAGTAGTGAAAGGCAGTCCCGGAGGCACATACATTACACGCAAAGGGCAGACTGTTGACTCTGCTGCTACCGTGTTTCCCAGAAAATAAGACCATAAGACCTAGTGCATGAAAAGATAAGACATCCCCTGAAAATAAGACCTAGCTCAACTTTGGGAGAAAAAATTAATATAAGACACTGTCTTATTTTCGGGGAAACAGGGTAGATTGCCCTAGCGGGAAGGAGACAAAAGCTCCAGACTGTGCTGAGCCCCAGTTCCGACTGCACTGAACCCTAGTTCTAGGCCAGACCCTGGGGACTCAGGCTCATATGGAGGGAGCCTGGGCTGTAAGGTGGAAACTCAGGGGAACGGCGAAAGGCAGTCTGCATGTACATTGCACGTAAAGAACAGAATGTTGACTGTGCCACTGGATTGCCCTAGTGGGAAGGAAACAAAAGCTCCAGACTGCTCTGAACCCCACTTCCAGCTGAACTGAACTCCAGTTCCGGGCTCATTGTGGGAGAGCCTAGACTGTTTGGTATTGGGTGAAACTCGAGGGTACCTTTCTCTCAGAGGTGCTTGCACCGAGTACCGAAGGATACTGAGGAACACTGAGACTCAGAAGCCTCATAGGCAGGGCTCTCGGAAGCCAAGGCTGTATGTAGGCTCCACCCTGAAACTCTGCCCCATCCAAGCTGAGCACAGAGACTTTAAGGCTACCAACTCAGGGAAGCTGCGAAAATGCCGAGACAAGGAAACAGATCACAGACAAAAGAAATGGAGGACAAAAAGCAACTGGATATAGAGTTCAAAACCATGCTTATAAGGTTTTTCAAGAATTTCCTAGAAAAGGCCAATGAAATAAAGGAGACCTATGAGGATATGAAAAGGGATCAACTAGAAATAAAGAATACATTGCCTGAAATAAAAAATACTATACAGAGTCCTAAAAAGAGAATGGAAGTTCAGAAGAATCAAGTCAAAGACTTGGAACACAAAAAGCCAGAAGACACTCCTCCACAGAAGCAAGAAGACAAGAGAACCCAGAAAGTTGAAGATAATGTAAGAAACCTCAGGGACAACTTCAAACGAACCGACATCAGAATTATGGGGGTCCCAGAAGATAAGAGAGAGCAAGATATCAAAAACATACTGAAAGAAATAGTAAAAGAAAACTTCGCCACCTGGTGAAAGAATTAGACTTAGAAGCCCAGGAAGCGCACAGAATCCCAAACAAAAGGAATCCAAAGAGGATCACACCAAGACACATCATAATTAAAATTCCAAGAGCAAAAGACAAAGATAGAATATTAAAAGCAGCGAGAGAGAAACAGGTAGTTACCTATAAGGGAACACCCATACGATTGTCAGCTTATTTCTCAATAGAAACCATGCAGGCCAGACGGGAATGGCAAGAAATATTCAAGGTGATGAATAGCAAAAACCTACATCCAAAAATACTCTACCCAGCAAAGCTATCACTCAGAATCGAAGGCCAGATAAAGAGCTTCACTAATAAAAAAAAAAGCTAAAGGAATTTATTATCACCAAACTGATAATGGTACCACTATTATAAAGTTTCACTTTTCATTCTAAAAGTCCAAAATAGTTTTTCTTGATCATGGAACAGCTCTTTTCGGAAGGGTGATGTATGAGCCATAACCCTTCTAACTTGTGACTTTACCATCTTTAGTAATTAGCTTTTTATAGTTGTGTTTGCTTCAGGCAGACCAAGGAAAGCATTGGATTGCAGGTGAAAAGGAGCCTGGCCTGTGCCTGGCAATGGCAGGCATTCACTTCTGTGAGCTGGAGCTCCAGCTTATGGCACACCTAACCACAGGGGGAGCTAGGACATCTCCCTATCCAGGAGGAAGATACGGAACAGCTAGCAGATGTTGCCACAGTATCTAGTGATAACATGTTTCAAGTATCTTTGAAGAAAATTATGGAAGTTTTTTAATGCGAATGTCATAGAATGTTTTAAAAGCTCATAGACATACAGAAATGTTAGCTACTTTATTTATTTATTTTTAAATATATTTTATTGATTTTGTACAGAGAGATAGGGAGAGAGATAGAGAGTTAGAAACATCAATGAGAGAGAGTCATCGATCAGCTGCCTCTTGCACACCCCCTACTGGGGATATGCCCGCAACCAAGGTACATGCCCTTGACCAGAATCGAACCCGGGACCTCTCAGTCCCCAAGCCGACGCTCTATCCATTGAGCCAAACCGGACTTGGCAGAAATGTTAGCTACTTTAATTGTATTTTAGGGAAATTGAAAAGGCAAATTTGTATTTCTTAGTGTAGTGTCATTTTCATGTCTTTTAAGTACATGTGTGTTTTTAACCTTTTCTTCAATTTTCATTTATAGGGCCCTTTAAAAGGACGCAGAGTTGAAGGAATTCAATATGAAGATATTTCTAAACTTGCTTGAGTTTGAAAATTTGTGAACATATTAAAATACTAAAGCATCAAATTGGTGTTCGCCAAGGCATTATGAGACTCTACTGTGTCAGGGTATTTCTTTTATATACAACAAATGGATTTATGTAAATATTATTGTATAGTTGTTTAGCTAAACTTGTAGGAAATCTAATTATGTCTTATGAAATATCAAACTATGTAAATTTGTTCTTATTTTTGTTTATAATATTCCTTTGATTTTTAAAATTTGCATTAAAATAATATTGTAAAGTGTTTTATATAAGGCAGTTTAGAATCATATAATTAGAGGAAATTCTTATATACTCTAAATTTATATTTTTAGTAGTAATGTTGAACTATAAACATAGTTACATTTTAAAAAGTCAAACTAAATATAATAGCTTTATTGAGATGTCATTCATACACCATACAATATCACCCACTTAAAGTGTACAATTTCAGTGGTATTTAGTATATTTACAGAGTTGTGCAACCATCACCACTATCTAATTTTAGAACATTTTCATTACCCCCAAAAGAAATCCTGTACCCATAGTTACTCCCTGTTCTCCCTCTTTTTCCAGCACCTGGTAGCCCCTAGTCTACTTTCTGTTTCTAAGTATGTGCCTATTCTAGACATTTCATATATTGATAAATAGAATCACACAATATGTGGTATTTTATGACTGGTTTCTTTCATATAACATAATGTTTATAAAGTTATTTGATATTGTGGCATATTTCAGTATTTCACTCCTTTTTATTACTGAACAGTATTCTAGGTATAGGATATACCACACTTTTTAAATACATTACCAGTTGGTGGACATTTCAGTTCTTTCTACTTTGGGGCTATTATGAATAATCCTTTCTAATAAAGAGAAACATGCAAATTGACCGTACCTTTGCTTCACCCACAAGCCACGCCCACCAGCCAATCAGGGTGAGTATGCAAATTAACCCAACCAACGTGTCTGTTAATTTGCATTTTGAAGCCAGAGCAAAGAAAGAAGCCAAGCACTGCAGAAGGGAGCAAAGCTGCAGAGAAGCAAGCAAGCGGGGTGGCAGAGAAGGCAGGGCAGGGAGAAGAGAGAGAAGCTGCTGGGGCAGCAGAGAAGGAAGGGAAACAGGCAGGCTGGGGAGAAGGGAGAGAAGCAGACCGGGCAGTGGAGACTGCAGCAGGAATCCATATTGCAGGAATCATCCTGCAAGGGGCATCTAGTGTTTCTATATTTGTGTATAAGATTCCATGTGAATATTTCAGTTCCTAGGAAGAGAGTTGCTGAGTAACATTGTAACGCAAGATACCATGTTGAACATTCTATGAAACTGCCAGACTGTGTGTTAAAATGGCTATACCATTTTACAATTCCACTGACATGTTGAACTATGCATTTTTAAATAAGTAGAGCAGTATGTTATATAGGGATATAAAAAATTTGAAACGCACCCCACACTTGCTTATGTACCCAGAAAAAAGGAGAAAAGAAAATTTATAGTTCATACAACTGAAAACGAATAGAACCTAGCTTCACGTGCAGTGGGGACTCAGTGTAAGGACAGAATCCCACTGGGTCTTGGAACTCCATCTGATTGCAATAAGGCTAAAGAAAAGATGCCACTTTTTATGATAATAAGTGATTCTTTGAAGCATGTAGAATGATTTGAAGAAAATGAGTAAGTACTAAAATAACTCCTGATTCGTAGTTTATTTTTACCATACATTGAGGCACTCTAATTTCCTTTTTTTTTAAATATTTATTGTTCAGATTATTACAGTTGTTCCTCTTTTTCCCCCTCATAGCTCCCCTCCACCCAGTTTCCACCCCACCCCCTTTCCTTACCCTCCCCACTATCCTTATCCGTAGGTTTACGATTTTTGTCCACTCTCTTCCTGCACCCCTCTTACCTTCTTTCCCCCAAGAATTGTCAGTCCACTCCCTTTCTATGCCCCTGATTCTATTATATTCACCATTTTATTCTGTTTGCCAGATTTTTAATTCACTTGTTTATAGATATGTATTTGTTGTCACTTCGTTGTTCAACATTTTTATCTTTATCTTTTTTTTCTTCTTCCTCCTCTTCTTAAAGAATACCCTTCAGCATTTCATATGATATTGTTTTGGATGTGATGAACTCCTTTAGCTTTTTCTTTTTTCTTTTTTAATATATTTTATTGATTTTTTACAGAGAGGAAGGGAGAGGGATAGAGAGCTAGAAACATCGATGAGAGAGAAACATCAACCAGCTGCCTCTTGCACACCCCCTACTGGGGATGTGCCCGCAACCAATGTACATGCCCTGTGACTGGAATTGAATCTTGGACCTTTCAATCCACAGACCAACGCTCTATCACTGAGCCAAACCGGTTTCGGCTCCTTTAGCTTTTTCTTATCTATGAAGCTCTTTACCTGACCTTCAATTCTACAGGATAGCTTTGCTGTGTAATCTTGGTTGTAGGTACTTGTTATTCATCACTTTGAATATTTCTTACCACTCCCTTCTGGCCTGCATACTTTCTGTTGAGAAATCAGCTATCAGTCATATAGGTGCTCCCTTGTAGGTAAATAACTGTTTTTCTCTTGCTTTCAAGATTCTCTGTCTTTTGCTCTTGGCATTTTAATTATGGTGTGCCTGGGGTGGTTCTCTTTGGATTCTTTTTGTTTGGGATTCTGTGTGCTTCCTGGACTTATAGGTTTATTTCTTTAACCAGGTAAGAGAAGTTTTCTGTCATCATTTCTTCAAATAAGTTTTCAATATCTTGCTCTCTCTTCTTCTGGCACCCCTAAAATTTGGATGTTGGTACACTTGAAGTTGTCCCAGAGGCTCCTTAGACCATCTTCATATTCTTGGATTTTTTTTTTTAATTAATTAATTTATTTATTTATTTATGCTTTTCTGGTTGGGTGTCTTTTGCTTCCTCATATTTCAAATCTATGACTTGATTTTGGGGATCCTCTAGTCTGCTTTTGGATCTTTGAATATTATTCTTTATTTTAGTCAATGTATGTTTAATTTCTAATTGGTCCTTTTTCATATTCTTGATTGTCTCACTATATTTCTTGAAGGTTTCTAGAAGATTCTTGAGTATCCTTATAACCATGGTTTTGAACTCTATATCCAGTAGTTCGCTTTCCTCCATTTCTTTCATAAGTGACCTGTTTCTTTGTCTCTGCATTTTGGCTGCTTCCCTGTGTTGATAGAGTAGCTTTGTGTGCTAGATGTCCTGTAGGACCCAGTAGCTCAGCCTCCTTAATTAATTACCTGAGGTGGACACTCTTGGTATACCCCTGTGTGGGCTGTGTGCACAGTCTTCTTGTAGTTAAGTCTTGATTGCTGTTGGGATCACTGGGAGGAATTGACCTCCAGATCAATTGGCTGTGAGGACCCAGTTGTGTCTATAATGGAGAACTTCTGTGCTGAAGACACTCTTATGGGGCAGGTCTAGCTTCGGGGGTTTTGGTGCTCACTGGGTCTGCCTCCTGAGTGTGTGTCTTATGGATGTGAGGAGTTGTAATCTGGATGGTCTCACTATGACCACTTGGTACACTGGCTCTTGGATCTCTAAGGAGATACAAAGTCAGCCACCTCCTGAGGCCACCCAGTAGGAGCTACGGAGAGATTTGCAGATTCCTCTTCTTTGGGGTTTGGAGGTACCCAGATGAGGCCCAGCTGTGAAGCAATGCAAGCTGCGGTGGAGCTTTGGGCCTTCTTTTGGAAGCTCTGGCTCTCTCGGACCCAGCTAGAGTTTGTTAGGTTTAAATTGAAAAAGGCCAGTCTATTCATATGCAAAAGCCTTTATACACAGCTAGGGTGGGTTTGTAAATTGGGTGGGGTGGGGTCTCAGGGAATCACCAGGGTCAAGCAAACAGCAGTACCTGCCCATCAGCTCTGCCCTGAAGAAGTCACCAGGTCTCTGTGTCCCATGGCACCAGGCAGGAACAATGATTGCTGCAAGCTGCCCTTGCATTCCTGCCTGATGCCAGACCGTGCAGTTTCTCTCCGTATGAGTCTGGGTTTCTAGAGTCTTGCCTGGAACTGGAGTTCAGAACAGTCAGGAGCTTGTATCTCCCTCCTGTTTGAAAAAAGACAACAGTGTACCCAGTTGCCAGCCCCTTTTATGTGTGCCTCCATACTTCCACACCTACTACCGGACTCAATGCGCTTTTCTCTTTCCTTCTAGTTATAGAATTTCCACTCAGCCAGCGTTCTCATTGCTTCTGGATGATATCCATTTTGTCTTTTAGTTGTAGTTTTGATATGGTTGTGTGTGGCAGCAAGTTCAGGGGTCTACTTATGCCACCATCTTGGTTGTCCCTAATTTCCCTTTTTGATTTGTTGCTTTGGATAGCCAGGTTCCCAACTCTAAGAAATCTTGTTTAGTTTTTACTATATTAAAAACACAAACAAATTTATGACAGGAATGATCTGAGCCAAGAGTCTGGATTTCCTGGAACACAGACTTTCATTTTCCTAACAAGGCATATATATTTCATTGGTTTAATGGAAACTGTTTACTAGTAGATTGATATTTAAGAGAATCTTTGAAGACAGACTGCATAAATACTAAAGATGATTAATATATCTGACAAACACGAGCCCTGTTTACCTCAACTCTATACAAAATACAATATTAATTATCAGTGGGTTGCATAGTGCTCCACAAAATAAATATAATATAGGCAATTGTCACGTTTTCCTTCACTGAGAGCATACTTTCAGAAATTAATCAAGAGGTAGACAATGGAATAGTTCCTTTCTTTCCAGTGAGTCCCATTAATTTGATTTCTTTGGAATTCAAAATTGATTATTCATTTGTAATTAAAAATTAATTATATAAAGAAGGCAGATTTCAGGCCTCAAGGGAAACGTGAACCATATTAATAAAGTTATTTTTACAGCCAATAAATTTCAAAACACCAGCTATTAATAGTTTTGATAATTTGAATAATACAAACTTGATTTTAAATCTAGTTGCTTTTGATAGCACTCTTGCTCAATATTTGCATATAAATATACACCCCAACATTTTCATCATTATTTTAAAAACACAGCATATTTAAGATATTAGGAATCAATGTTATCTAAAGGTAGAAGTTTTAAAGTAAAAATTTTTACCAAGTAACAATGACAAGAACCCACTTTTGAAGTCTGCATTGAATATTAGCATTTTAATGTTAGTATTTTTGAAATAGGAAATGGAAAAGATGTAAATTTTTTAAAAGCATTTCATAGGTGACCAATTTTTATAGAATAAAACTAAAA